AGTTTTTGGTGTGCAGGTTGGGCAGTGGTAGAGCAGACTATATGTTTGCCCAAGTTTTTGTTGCACTGAATCTGACCTAGTCTTCGTATTTGGGCAAAACACTCATGAAACCTACAGGTACAACAGACTATACGTTTTTCCAAGTTTTTTTGCACTGAATCTCACCTACTCTTTGTATTTGGGCAGAATGCTCATGAAACCTGCCATTACGTGCTTTTTGTGGGGTAGCAGGTGGAGGGTAGAAGGAGGAAACAAAGAAAAAAGCAGAGGATTCTTCAGTTGACTAACCTGCAGAGGCGGAAGTGGTGAAATCTAGTTGGTTTATTTTACCTCTTGGAAATTGAAGTGAGAGTGGATAGGAAAGTGAAAATAGACTAACACTCTTATTCCAAAAAATTTTTTTTTTAAATGATAAAATATTTTCAAAATGATTGTTAAAAGATTGTACTGTTTTTATAAATTTTTCTTCCTATAATATGTTCATATATAGAACAATATACTATTTGATCTCTAATTTACATCAGAATAAAAACAGAAAACACAAAATGTCACATTAAAATTTTCAGCTTTTATAACACATTTGATTAAAAGTAACAGCTTCAAGTGCTTGTAACTTTGCCTTTTAAGTAGGTCTTGGGGAAAAAAGCATTCATTAGAAATCTCACTGGAAATAAACTGTTGATATATGCTACTGACTTCTGCCACCCATGTAATTGCTTATACAACATGGCAATAAAAACAAATAAGAGAAAAAAATACAAAATCTGACAGTCTTTTAGGAAACTGGGAATTAGAATGTGACATACATATGTCATAATAACTTCTCACAGTTTACAGAATAACAGTTTCCAATGTAGTTTCCCCAGCTGATTCTTCTTAATCCAAACTACAATCATACTGTATTATTTTTCTAATGATATTTTCATATTACCTAAATGAAGAGAGTGGTTAAATGCAATTAAATAGTCTTCTCAAGACTGCTAAACTTATAATGTCAAACATCATAAGGTAAAGCTACTTATGATTTTAAACACGATAGCCTGTATTTTAATAAAGTCAACATGTCTGGCAAAACATATTTAAAAGAAAATAGAAGATTTTCTCTATGAAATAAAAATTATCACTTAATATTTAAGTCTGATTTTCATATATAAAATTTCTGCTTCAGTATGTCAAGTAATTATTATACATTTGAAATTTCATGAGCTATCATATTAGCTGAATTAGTGTCACACCTAAGTCACACATGAGAATCACCAAATAGAACACATACAGGGCACTAAAATAGGAAATTGATAGAATTTTATTGTCATGAAAAAGAATTTATCTGGAAATCTAATATAAGTAATATTACCAAAAATTATTGATAATATAAACTATATTGAATTTAAATATTTTTGCAAAATTTGAAAATTCTGATAGGCCAAATATGAAATTGGTTTTTCCCTTTGTGAATTAAAAATGTATCAATTTTACATGTTGGAATGAGCACACAAGGATAATACTGAATCAATGTATTTTTTTAAGAATATAAGAAACTATATGACATTAGGAATTTTTATGACATTTGTAGAATGGTTTCATATTTTTAAGATAAATAGCCTACCAAGGTACACTAAATCTGTCTTTGTTTTACATCAAATATAAGTGAAGAAAGCACAGCCAGACATAGCCATGATGGAGAGAAGAATCAAGGTACTTTTAACAATGTGAATTCCAGATTCACAAAGACCCAACAGAAGACTTTGTGGAAGGATGAAAGCATGTGTTCACCTTTGCTTTTATAGTCTCTGTGGAGATGTGTCTTGGATTGATTGGGTTTCAGAAAGCCCAGTGTGCTTGTGAGTGTTGTAAAACCAAATTCTCCCTGTCGCTTAGGATGTAACATATCCCTCAACGTTCGCCTGCGGTACTAGAGCCAAAGACAATTATTCAGAATTCTTCTAGGTTTCCTAAGGAAAAGGCTAGAGATAGATGACAAAGAGCATGCTGCTGAAGTACAAATGTTGATGAAATGATAGTGACTGAGACAGCATGTCAAGAAGACTTCTTCAGGTAATTCTTCATACAGCTGGAAAAAATGCAGTTATTAATTAGGCATCATTTGTGTTGTTTATCTGCCAGTTCTGAGCTGTATTATTCTGAAACCTCAAATTTCTTAGAGGCCTTGATGGTTGTATGATCTGTATCATAAAAGCATAGCCATATATAACATAATGTAAGGAAAACCAACATTTTCCTCACTACTAAATTGCAATCATTCGTAGTGCCACTATTTATGGTTTCATTAAGCAGAAATATAAAGCTTCTATTATTATGCAATACTAACTAAGATGGTCAACACAGGAAAACATTGGAATTATTCTGATACTAAATTTGCTTTTCATATAATTTAGGCATCCTCTTAGCAGAATTCACTGGAATAGGACCATAAACTGCTTACTGTATTTGTTATTCCATAGAGAAGTTAAGATGAATGCCAAGTACTCATTACAGGTGAGAGCTGGGGAGCAATTCGGGAAGAAGGGGAGAACACAAGGGAAGACCAAGTGAAGATAATCTCTGGGATAAGCCAGAAGAAACCTCCCCTCAAGTTTACCTCAAATATTTAGACTGACATCAGCAGAACTCCACATTCTGTTGAAATCTTTTATCTCTCAAATAATCGATTGTGTTTTTATGCTATTTGATCACAATTTCCCGACATTGCGACTTCATGTATCTCTAACCTGTTCGTTCTTTTATGTCACTTTGACTTTGTTCTTTTGATCCCTAATCTAGCGCACTCTCTACATCTCTTTTCTTATTCCCCCTTCTTTTTCTATCCAATAATTATCACTTAAATCATTCAGTTGTTAACGGACTCAAATAGCTTGCCCTTTCGTTCTTCCACTCCATTCATCTAGCAAAACTGCCCCTCTGGATTGAAATAATTGTTATTAATGACACAGAAAATAGTGGAGCAAGGAAAGTTCATAAGCAACAAAAACCCATAATGTTTTTATGTCTCGAATTACATTTGGGATCCCAGTCTCACCCTGCATTAACTCCTCCAATCTTTTAACTTTTAATTTGAGCATCTTTTTTGCTTCCATCTGTGCCACCCTTTTCTTTCCTCAGAAGAAAATTTTTTAAAACACCAGATAAAAACCCACTCAACTTTCTGCCATCAAACCCATTATTGTACCCTTCTCTGAAAACCTTATTAGGGTTTTCTGTGTATCTGTGTGATTAGTGAGGGAGACCTTGGCTGGAAGGGGAATGACCTTGAATTTTCCCACAGAGCCCACCTAAACCATGTTACCACAATCATGGCTGCAGCGCAGGCATGGTGCTGATGCTGGCAACATTTAATCTTTGTTTATAAACCACGTCAGAATCAAAACTATCCTGACAACTTCAATATTCTCCCTTCTGCAGTGTGAGCGGAAGAGAAAGTAAGGGTTATGATTACTGGCTTGGGATGCACAAAACCCAACTAGTGTCTTATTTTATCTATGCTACAGCCTCCATTACCTTTCACTTCTCAATTCATAACTAAAAATTTAGGAATGTTCTTGAAAGCGCCCCCTCTCTCCTGGAGCTTCTGGTGGTGTTGAGTCCATCTTGACTGCCCAGCTCTCAGGAACTCATTGATCTGTTAACTGAAACCAACATTAGTCCTTAAGTGGTGTATTAGATACCTAAACTTTTTCATCCCACATATCTGCTATGTTTTTTATCGTTTGACCTGCATTATTTGCCCTTTCATCTCTTGTTTCATTCTGTATCTCTGTGTAGTTGAGCTTTTTTTGTTCTTATTTCACATATTAGTGAGAGATCATGCAATATATTTTTTCTGGCTTATTTTACTTAGCATAATGTCCTCCAGGTCTATCAATTTAGTGGCAAATGCAAGCTCTTCTTTTTAAAGGCTGAATAGTTATTCCGCTGTGTATGTATGTGTATTTTATATATATACATATAAAATACACATTTTCTTTATCCATTCATTCATAGGGGGACATTTATGTTATTTCTATATCTTGGCTATTATAAATAATGATACGATGAACATGGGAGTGCAGGTATCTTTAAAAGGTGGTGATTTTATTTCCTTTATCTAGAAGAGGGATTGGCAGGTCATATGGGGATTCTATTTTTGATTTCTTTAAGAATTATTGTGAAAAATTGTATGGAGTTTCCTAAAGAAAATGCAAATTAAGTTCTCTTTTTAATTCAGGTTTCACCAGACAAAAAAGTTGGTTTCTGTCTTTACATTTTTAATGTTCTAAATAATATTGATTATTTGCATGTAAATGCAAATAACATGAAACTATTGTGAAAGTCAATTTCTATTGTGCAATAGGATAGAGGGTAAATAAGTGCAAAATATGTGCCAGTATGAGGAAGCTGTTCCCAGTAAAATTTTTAAATATAGGTTGCTGTAATCTAAATTAATTTTTATTTCTAGAAATAGAAAATGTTGAGAGATGTCCTCCTAATTGATGGATTAATTATGCTTTATTTATTAAAATATTTCTGCATTAAAATTTTTGTAACTCCCCTCTAAAACTATTAAATACTTAAAACCAAAATTTATATAAACTAGTGACTTCACACTTGACATACTGGCCACTTATTTGGATTTCTAACCTAACCAAATTACCTTTCTCTAAGTTAGTTCCTAAGCTTAACTTTTAACGTGACCTGAAAATAAGCTTATGTATTTATAGAAATAAACAAAGTATACCGCATAAATTTGAACAATTGATTTTTACATGCTATACATATTTGACCCATTTTTTTTTCCAAAGTATCTTTGAAAACTCTGGGAATTTCTTGAAATTGACAATCTTAGCTGCTATTCACTTGGATTCCTAATTATGCTGCATGTATATTCACATGAATCACAAAGCATCAAAAGGAATGTTTTATTACTCTAGCCTCCTGTATCAACTGAGAAGTATTTGCTGTTAACTAATTCATCTTAAATCCCTGACATTAATCCAGTTCTCATCTTTCCTTGTTATCTGATTTTAGAAGAGGGCAGAAAGATAAAAGAAAAAATAAAGAAATAAAAGACTGGCTATTTAAAACTATAATATTAAAAGAGTAAAAAAATTTTCATTATTTTACATAATAGAAAAATTATTATTTTAAACACTGAGTATTACATGTGATGGATTTCTTTTTCTCTGGGTATGGACATGTGATTTTGACTAATTTTACTGAAAACTTTACCAGGCTTTAAATTTTATTTGAAACTGTAGCTATACTTCTAGTGATCTTCCCATTTAATTTCTCTCCATGAAAATTGGAGCTCATCAGAAAGTCTTCAGTTAGAATATTTGTTATATCAGAGACTGGAGGCATTAAAGCAGTAGAAGAAACATAAAAATCTGAATATGGGAAGAGAGTTTTTGTAAATTCTATTTCTAGTTGTTAAAATTAAGTGTTAAATGCAGTAATTATTGAATACCTCTAATATTTCCGTTTTTTTCTATGAGGCTGTATCAGATTTCTCCAGAAAATAAAACCAATAAAATATTTATCTATTTATCTATCTATTTATCATCTGTCATTTATCTATCTACCTATCATTATCTAGCTGTCTATGTCTACCTATATACAAAGAGATTTATTTCAATTAATGGGCTCACATTACTGTGAAGGCTGGCAAGTCCGAAATTTGTTTGCAATTTGCAGGCTGGAGAGCTGGAAAATCAGGCAGTAGTTGATGTTGTGGTCTTGCAGCAAATTTCTTCTTATCAGGAACATTTGTGTTTTTGCTCTTAAGGCTTATCAAATGATTAAATAACCCTCACCCATATTATTGAGAGTTATCTCCTATACTTAAAGTTAACTTATTATAGATGTTAATCACATGTACCTTCATAGCAACACCTAGATTAGTGTTTGATTAAATAGTTGAGAACTAACACTTGTCAATTTGACACATAAAACCAACAAACACAGAGGCCATGTGTAAATCCATAAGCCATAACAGCAAATAGACAAATTTTCTTTATTCTGTTTTTCTGTGATTTTTAGTAAAAAGTAATTTTTAAAGTATTTCTATATTTTTAATGGCATCACTACTATACAAGGAGAAAGAAATGTGAGCTGAGCTATATAAAATATTAAAATTTAATATTTATAAATATAATCATTCTTATGACTGATATATCTGAATAAAATTTTGTTTAGCACTCAACATATAATTCTCATCCTTGCTTTATTTGAAATATAATAATTTTGATAAATAGATACTATAGTCCCTAAAGTTTAAAGAATTTATCTAGTAATTGATATATTTCTTACAAATAGTTTCAAATTATTTTTCTCCTAGTTCATATTTTAACAATTAAATCAGCACTGGTATGTGTTGGTTTTCTTGACCTCTTTTTACCTTTAAAATACGTCTGACATCTTATTTGTTCTCTAAACTGGGATTATAACCAATAACTATCTTTTGATTATTTTCTGATCAAAATTTACCTTCTTTTTGTGTTAGAAAAATATTTTATTATCGTTATTATTGATTTGATTTTTTTGTTGTTTTACAAATTCAATGATTCAGAGTCTATTCAAGACCTAGGTATCATTTTGGGTGAATAAATATGAGGTTCATTACTTTGTTTCAGGACATGAGAATGCTATAGCTATAATGCATAGAAGGGTTAATATAGTTATATATTGTAATCATCTAGATAATTAGGCATTCTCTAAAATTTGCAGCATTCTTATTTTACTGTTTCAGGTCATGAAAACTATTTTAATTTATAAAATTTTTAGAAATACTTTGCATTTTAAATCTTTAAATATGTTGTTTAGTTGACTGTGTCCTTATCTCCTATTGCTTTCAGGTAAAGATGCATTCGTATCTCAAATTGCCAGTTCAAAATACTATGTATGCTATTTTGTTGGCATTGGTCAAAGAAGGAATTTACATTTTTACATATACATATATATTTCAGTTTACTTTTTCATAAGTGCCTAAAGACAGTACCAGGAGATGACCTTGGAATCTAGGCAACTAGATAGGGAACATGGAAAAAAAATTAGTTTGAAATTGCAATGGCAAGATTGTGCATTCTTAGCAATATTCTGAAACACAAAAAGCAAGACATTTGTGATAAGCAGTGAAATAGACAGAGAAAGGTTTTTGCTTTTATATATATCTAGAAATAGTAGCAGTTTATTAATTCTTGCTTGGGCATTTAAATGAGTAAAGAGTACTTTAAAACAATACTTTCTTTTCCTACTTACAAATTCCTGCTTAGAATATAACTAAATATGTTTAAAAATAAACTCAAATGTAATTTAATAAAGGAGTGTTTCTTTTAAATCTTACATATAGAGACCAGAACATTCTAAATTACTTTCTATTATATTTTAAGCAATCCAAAAAGACTTAAATAATAGTTGATTGTGATACTGATTCATAGACAACGTCTGCATCCTTCCCCTTAACAAATAAGAGAACAGCATTAATCTTAAATTGAAACAGGCTTTATTTTGGTTATTTGCCCCTAATATTTGCCCCTCTTTCAATTTTTCAATTTTAAATTGCAAATTATATTTTATAATATGCAATATACAATGATGCTATAAAAATCAATATCTATTTCCATCAAGACAGTCACTTGAATTTATGTGGAAATACTATCAGAGTTTTAAAAATAGGATTTATGTACCATTTGGGCAGAGAAAAGTATCTAGGCACACATAAACAATGAGCTGTGAATGACCAGGGAGTTACCAAGAAATAGAATGGCAATTTTTTTTTTTTGAGACAGGGTCTCACTCTGTTACCCAGGCTGGAGTGCAGTGAAACAATCACAGGTCACTGCAACCTCAACTTCCCAGGCTCAAGCCATCCTCCCACCTCAGACTCCTGAGTAGTTGGGACTACAGTCATATGCCACCACACACAGCTAATTTTTTTGAGATGGGATTTCATTATGTTGCCCAGGATAATATAGAGTCAGAAATATTAATAATGGTTTGTATTTTCTGTTGTTACAGACATTGCCCTTAATGGATTTGAATTCCCACCAGTCAATATGTTTACCTATACAAGAGAATAGGTTTACAATCATAGCTTAGGTCAAGCATTCATTGTATAGCTTCCCTGTAAGTTTTTGCTTCTTATTACTGCTAAAATCTTCAGATGGAAAGAGGCAAGAAAATAAAATTTTTACAAAAGTCAGATCAATTGAGGAGCTCCACTGTTAATAACACCAACATCAAGTAGATTTGTATATGAGCTTGTCCTGGAGGAAACATTTTCTATGAAATCTGCCTCTACTTTTTAGGTTTTCTACATCAGGCACTTTTAATGGATCCACACAACGAATTGAACACTAGGCAGCTTCACTGTTTTCTAATATGCAGTTTTGAATATTGTATATTACCCCAACTTCACATCTAGAAGGATGTAAAAATATATTGTATGCATGCTTGGATTAAAAACTGATATAATGACATATGTTTGTGAATATACTTTTCTTTCATTTAACTTTTATCCTTAAGTGGAAATTATTCTCTGATAGAGATTTCTATACCACTTTAACATATTACCATGGATTTTTGTTGCTGTTTGGCCTAAAACAACACATACTCATTATCTAACTTTTGTAGGTCAGAAATAGGGATGAACTCTGCCTGTTTTTTGCATTGGGTCTCAAAGGGCCAAAATCAGTGTCAGTGAAGATTTGCTTACCCTTTCTGGAGCCTCCAGGAAATTAAACAATTTCCAAATTCATTCTGGTTTAGTTGGAAGAACTCAGTTCCTGTAAGTGAGGTTCTCATTTCTTTGTTGCCTCTCAGCTGTGGGGGTTAGTCTTCTCTCCTAGAGGTTGAGTGTATTTCTTCTTATGCTTTGAGGTGTCTGTGATATCCTTCTTAATGGCCCTCCTCACCCATGGTCTCCAGCAGGTGGATTCCCTCTCAGACGTTGAATCTCTCCAATTTCCCTTTTGTTGCCTCTCTATGCCATCTGGTTCTTCACCTAGCTGTAGACAATTCTCTGCTTTTAAAGACTGATTAGATTAGGTTAGGTCAGCTTAGATTGGGTGATTAGATCGCTGGCACCTGGATAACTCAGGCCACATTTCCCTGTTTTAAGGTCCATGCCCTTAATCATATCAGCAAAATTCCGTTTACCACACTGGGTAACATTCACAGACTTTTAGGGCAAGAATATTGTACCTTTTGAAGGGTCTACTATTCTGTCTACTGGAACTGCTAATCCACAGAAATTGGTTTACCTTTTTTGTTTACCTTAGAATCTGGTTTCTTGGGGTCACATTTAAAAAAAAAAAAACGAATGCAACACTTAATGTTATCTAGTACTGTTATCGTCAATTGAAGAAATAATGTTGATGTTTTTTCTGTCTTTACAGAAAGAGTAGCATAATAAATGTTTTAATTACTTAAAAAAACTTGAATCAGAGTTTTTATAAGTATCTGATATCTACCCAAACAGTTGTGTTTCTCATTTTAAGAAAATAAGTAAACTGAATATTAAAATAAGAGAGATTTTTCATTCCATTTTTTCTGCATTTCCTTGCAACTCCCCCAAAATATATAGGATCTGAAATTCCATGATATCTTGTCCATTTTATGTCCTCAACAATAACACTTTGTATTGATGCCGGCTGAAATTGATAAATGTGTTACAGAATATTCTTTTTCCATCCTTAATTAATATTCTAAATGGGCTGTGCATTTAAATAGCCAGTTTCTATTTCCCATTTATTTCCTCAGAGAACTTAACATTCGTAGGCTGGAAAAAGACATGGTAATTTATACCTTTCAATATGTTCTTTCCCTGTCTGTGCCTTAAACATTACCTGTAGTTCTGTTACACAGCATAAGTATTGCAACAAAAAATGTCTTGACTGTTCATCACTCCAAGCATATTCTTTAGAAATAATATATTTTGAGTCCTGAAAGTGCTTGCTAAGGTTTAGTTCATTAACGTTTATTGTTTCCTAAAAATGCATGAAGAATAGATTTCTGTTTATGTTTTAGACTTTCTATTAATTTTACTCTGCTCTTCCTTTTTTTCCATTTTCACAAACTAAGTAAATATGGTAAAGCCTTTATAGTTTTTAAAGCATGAAATTCTTTCTGACGTAAGCAGGTAATTACTTGAGTTTAATGAGGAAGCAGAAATTCAACTGATTACAACAGTATCATTTACTGATTTTACCAGTGAGAAACTCTGTAACTCTATTTTGGGAATTTAATTTCTTTGCAGTCTGTCCCTTCAGTACCCAGGACATTTCTGGAATGATGGATGTTCTATGAGGAAGGCAATGTCAAGCCTACAGACATGCCTGAACACACTGTGGAAATTTATGGCCTGCTTTCTTGGTGCTAATATAATGAGTTACATCATAGTTGAAGTTCAAGAAGAGAAGCTGTCATTTCAGTATCTTGACATACATCGATGTTAGAAAAATTAACCATTTTTAAACAGATAAAAGCCATGCATGTATTTTTCTATATGTTGGTATATATAAGTAGAATTAGACTAATCATGCAAATGAATTATTTCCACTTAAAACTGATAATAAAATATTTAGGAAAATTCAGATCTAAGTGAGCACTGATATTTTTTAATAACAGCTGGATATGGAATTTTACTTTCAATATTTTTATGCAATAAATTATTAGTAATATCCTAAAGTTTTACACATACACACACAGCCACACACACACACACACACACACACACACACACACACACCTATTGTCAGACAGAATAAGAACATTCTGTTTGGAATTATTTATCTAAAACAGCATAAAGATTTAAGCCAGGAAAACACGTTACTTAGGGTGCTGTATTTTTAAAAGAAAAATATCTTTTCTATGGATCTCTCTTTGAAAAAAATACTATCATACCTATTCTGTTTAATGCTTCCTAAAGTTAAATATGTGGTGACAGATAAATGTATTTTTTATCAGCCCAAATACAAAACTTTTATGTTTCAAGCCAATTGTCACTTTTTTAGTCTCCAGCTAAAAATTATAATTATCAATAACAAACGTGGACATAGAATTTTATTCCATAGCTGTTATGTTTAATCAGGTCTAACGCTTTTCATCCCAAGCTAAATAATCTCAGTTGGTACATCACTGTCTTGAGTTTTTAGTACAAAGTGGGTTGCTGTTAAAATAACTGTAGTTATAACACCAAAAAAAACCCCCCGAGATAAATAGAAATTTTACTTCGTGATTTTATCAACCATACTTCAAATATAATCACTACTTTAAAATTTCACTTATGTCAGAGTGTAACCAATCACAAGTACAGAAAACAACAGTTATTTGTTGAACATATAGTGAAGAGTTTGATGAACAGAATACATTTCATGTAATAGACCACATGAAGAAATTCATATTAACATGAAATTTTGACTTTGCATACGGATGCATATTTTCTCACAGCTTTTGAAGTCTACAGATATTCCATCACTGTCTTTCCAGAATGGTCTCTATGAGATAATTGTGGGCCATTTTGAGACGGGAGAATTCCCTGAACTCCTTTGCTATATTTGCAACAGGAATGTGGCCCAGTTACTTCGCCACCATGCTCAAACCCCTTACAGGAGGGGGGGGAGCACACAGACAAGTGGGTCCTGAGGTGGGGCAAGCCCTTTTGTGCTCTGGCCCCATGGTAGCATCTAGGAATGTGTTAGAACTAATGCTCTTTTAGCAGTTGCCATATGCAAATGATTAAGTGTTAACCAGCTCAGTGGAGAGTTGGATGACAGCCTGTTACACCCTGCCCTTTTGGTACCCTGGTCCTTGTCTGGCATTCAAGAAGGATCAGGTCACACAGACTTGAGGGATGATGAATACAGAAGTTTTACTGAGTGATGAAGGTGGCTCTCAGCAGGATGGGGCACTGGAAAGGGGATGAAGTGGGAAGATAATCTTCCCCAGAAGCCAAGCCATCTCCAGCCAGCTCCCCTCCAAAGTCATGCAGTCTGAAGTTAAGCCAAGTCTATTTGCAATCTCCAACACTCAGTTGCCTCTTCTCCTCTCGACATTCAGCCTCTTGGCCCTCTGCCAGCTGAGGTCTGGGGTTTATATGGGCGCAGGATAGAGGAACAGGGCACTCCAAAAGCAATATTTGGGTGGGAAAACAGAGTTGTGAAATTTTCATTTAGGGCCAAGGGGCCCAGGCTTCATAGTGGAGACCGCACCAGGGACCTTGTGATCTTTTACCCAGTATATCCTGGCCTCCTGTCTATATCAATTTCAATTAATATCTAATTTAGTTTCCTTTTACTTTCAAAAGCCACTTTAAAGTGTAAGTACAATTTCTTATGTTACTAAGGGAAATCACTATGTGGATGAATACAGTTACATTCACTTAACATTCTAAGTGTCCAATACATCGAATCTCCTCAGCTCTTCAGTTTAAAAAATATATATATACAGTTTTCAATGATGAAATTGATTTTTGCAGATTAAGTTTTATTTTAATCTTGTTGACTGCAACACTTTCCTGCTGTTCACTGTTATTATTTTGTCTGTTTATCCCTATTCTTCACTTCTCTGTATGCCAAACAGAAGCCTAAAGGAAATGTCTTTTAGATTATAACACTGAGTTAACTGTCCTCAGAAAATATAATATATCAAAAGGAAAACTGGAATCAAGGAGAAAACATTACGAAGATATTGACCATTCATCACCTTAACTGAAAATACTCCTTTCCAATAAGAAATTGAAAGCTTAATCTCTCAACAAATTATTTTCAAAAAGGGGGATAAGTTTTTCAGTGACATAATCAAAATTTTATGTGATAAACACTTCTGCATTGCGCTTATATATAAGTGCTATCTGTCTTAGGTCAATTATGAAGAAGGCAAAAGTCATTTAATGTTAGTCTCCTAGGTTCTGCTCTTTAAAATATACATTCACCAAATATTTGGATTATCATAGACGGAGAGACATACAAACTCTCTAAACACAATATAGTTAACTTGTGCCCTTGTCACTTAAGCCCATGACTTAAAATTGATTGTTTCAAAAACCCTCTATTATTGAGATCCCTTCCTTAGAACACTGTCTGGAAGAGGTCCCTCAGCGACTTAGTTATTATTTTTATTATTTTCTGAAAAAACAGCAGAACTCTGAAAGCTAGCTGTTGGCTTTTTGTCGAAGTTTAAAAATTCCATTTACAAAACTATGGTAAAGGAAAATATTTTAGCAGCACGTGACACAGTATGCTTTGCTTCACATGACATTTTACATGAAGATGCAAGTTCTGTGCATATCTTACTAAGTAACAAAAGGACCTAGGTCAATTATATATTTCTTGATTGGTTAAATTTTAGATAACCAACTACAGATTTGTTTTAATATTCTCTCAATTATTTGAGACATTTCATATGGAGAAATATGTTTAAAATAAATACATAAGTAGACTTTCCTTTAGGTTTTATTTTTTATGTTGAAAAATTAGTAAAAAAAAAAAATCTAAATATTTTTCAGGTAGTAAAAGGTCATTTGCTGCCTAATTGGATTTTCTCAAATACGTGCATGTATACATATATTTAACATACATATATATATATATATAACATTTTAAACAAATTTAATATGCAACATTTGTACCTATTTCCTACTGAAGTATTCTACATTATGAGATTTCATTTAGAATGAAATAAATGGACGTTCTCTCATATGACTGTTCTTAATCTAAGTGTCAGAATATTATATCATCAATAGAATGCCTAACTTAAATCTAACTTTTAATGTTTAAAAAAATCATTCCCAGCATTTTGGGAGGCTGAGGCAGGCAGATCACCTGAGGTTGGGAGTTCAAGACCAGCCAGACCAACACAAAGAAACCCCATCTCTACTAAAAATACAAAAAAAAAAAAAAAAAAATTTAGCTGGGCATGGTGGGGCATGCCTGTAATCCCAGCTACTCAGGAAGCTGAGGCAGGAGAATCGCTTGAACCCAGGAGACAGAGGTTGCGGTGAGCCAAGACTGCTCCATTGCACTCCAGCCTGGGCAACAGGAGTGAAACTCCATCTCAAAAAAAAAAAAAAATCATAAAATTTATCAAGACATGGTTCTTCTAAAGGATAATGAAGACTATTATTAGAATAGTTTAGGTCATAAATTTTGCTTTCTTTAAACTATAAAGGCAATGGAGACATTAGTGACAATTTGCTTAAATTAACCTGGTCTTGCTTGCTTTGTTTTGTTCAAGAGAAACATACTATTTTAGTGTAAAATATTTGGGTTGACTCGGTTACTTTTTAAAATTGAGCAATGCTCAACTGCAATTAAAATCAAAAATGTATTTTTGTATCCTACTATAATCAGAAGTAATGACAGTAAAACACCATGCTTAGAAACACAATTTCCTTCCAAATTTGACAGGAACTTTAAAACTAAGATGAGAGAAGAAACTTTCATGAATAAAGTGCTTTGGATATCTTGTTAATAGAGCACATTTTAGAAAATTGAACTAGAAAAGCTTGTTGTGCTTAACCTTGATGAGCCAAGGACATCCTGGAGCCAGACTGCTTGGATTCAAGTCCCGGCTCCATCACAGGCTTACATTGGAGCTTTGGGAAGTTGCTTAACATTTCTGTAGCTCAATTTTCTCTTTAGCAAAATATAGATAAATAATAGAAATATCTGCCCTATAAGCTCATTGTAGGGATTAAATGACAATAAACAGTGGTGAGAACAGTGTCTGACTGTAAGATAAGCTTCTGTAAATTGTTATATGCTTAATCTTCCCATATATCATTTACTGGATATGACTAAAACGCAAGTCAATTTATTTTATTTTCAGCAAATAGAACTAAATGTAACTCACTCAGATATCCTTATCAAAAATTTTTAAGGGCTTTTACCATTATTTCCATAACATTCTGCTACTAATGATGAGATTCTCACTGAAACTGAGGGACTAGTAGAACACAAGAGGAGAAACAGGCTATTACATGTACTTAGGATCCTGTAGGCAATGAAAATTAATTAATAGTTATTCTTAGTAACTATAAAAACTGAAAATTTTTCAGCTTTGAATGTAATAATACTAAAACTAATTATGAAATTTATTAAAGGACATGTGTACCATACTGATAAATATAGTTTTAAAGTGGACTTTTACATATATTTATACATGTTTAAATTTATTGCATATTTTATCTTTTTATTCTTTTAGTTTAGAACTCTGAATTAAAAGCCTGAATTAAAGTCAAATTTTAATAATATCAAATAACATAAAGCCAACAAAAAGTTAATGCCCTATCTAAATGAATATTACTGATATGGTTGCTAAACTGAAATACCTGTGTAATAATAAAATTTTGCATATATTGTCTTTTTATTGTCTTATTTGTTTTAAAAATTACTATGTCTATGTGGGTGTGTATGTGGGTGTTACATTATGTCTCACTAATTTGGGTTTTTCCTTAAGCAAAACAATAGTTCTGCAACAGGACAGTAACCTCATACACAATTAAATGTAGCAAATTAAAGTACTTTTCTTCTTTTGAAAATCTCTAGCCAACTTACATCTATAAAATACCACTATGAAAATAGTAGTAGACAAAAAAGGAAGAGAATATTATACACACATACGCACACACACAATCTCAAAGATTGCCTGGTTAATGGAATTGATAAAGTTAAGGAGCTGCACTTTTCAAAATCTTTACGTGGGACCGCTGATCAAAATTTGTTGTTTGTCATTACATCTGTTCAATCAACTTAGTTTGGAGGAATTCCTCTAATAGTTACTGATGGTCTGCCCTGACAGTTTCTATGAATATTTCAGGTACTGCAGGGACTTAAGTTCACCAGCAATTCTCTGCTCTCCTTAGTGTGGGCTGTCAGGAGCCACTGTCAGATTATATGGGTGACTGTAATTAAGTTGTCAATGTGTATCTGTAATTCTGGCATTTTCTTAACCCCTCAAAATATACAAGATGCCATAATCAAGTTTAAAATTCATTGTTTTTATACAGATTAGTAGTGAACTGCTATGTCTTCTGAAGTGTAATCATATCCCTGACTTCGAAAAGTTTACCATTTATCAGGGGGAGGGGAAGAAGGAAAATCTTTTCCTTTGATTACTCTTTTACCTTATATTTCTAGCTATGTAATCCAGTCATATCTACATATATAGACTATTTTATTGTTTTGTATCCAGTGTTACAATTATTATTAAAGCCCCCAAATAATGCTATTAATAAATCAGCATTCTCATACCCTGCAGGTGGAATATAGTAAATATTCTATGGAAAGGTTTTAGAAATATTTATCAACATTATAAAATGATAAATGCCATTCTCTTGGACTCAGAAATTTCATGTCTAAATAAATTTATATATACATACTCGTACACGCAAACACACACCTATATATACACATACATATACACATATGTGTATACATTTTCTCATGTGAAAAATGCATAAAATTGTTCAGTGTATTATTTTCTTGTAAAAATACAGGAAATATTAAGAATTTTTAAATATATTACAGTGCATGTATATGTGTAAATGGATATTTGCTTAAAAATGTATAGTTCTACTAAGGATACACAAGAAACTGTTACCTTGTTTGCCTCCTGGGATGTGAATTGGGTATTAAATAGGCAGGAATGGAAGTTTTCTAAACCTTTTGGAATTCAAATTATAAGAACGTTTTGCCTTAATAATAATAGGGAAGAGTGTCTTGAAACATACATCCTTAACCTTCCTCCTAGAGTCACTACTAAGTCTCTCATTCAGTTAATACCTGTTTAGGCCTTAACAGATACAGTGGCAAATCAAACACTAATATATTTGCTTAAAATGTAGCACTAAGGTCCCAAATTTATATGCATCGCATCTTTACTATTTAGCATTCAATATATTTAAAACTGAAGACATTGATGATATAACTATTGTAGCTCATCATGATTTTTATATTTTTACTACTGTTTTAGAACTAAATAAACAATAAATTTTGACAAATAACATTTAAACAACACTTAGTTATAAAACATTTTCAAAATGTTTTTAATCATATTAAAATTTTTTTTAACCTTTAAAAAACTGAGGACAGTTTTATTTTCTTGGAGCCAGCAAAGAGAACACAAAATAAAAGGCTGCACTTCTTTTGGGTGTGAGTAGAACATTGTTTTATAAATTAGTTTATTTTTGCCAAATAATCATTTTAATTTTTTAATATTTTGACTATGGCTCTGGCTAGAATTTGCATTTTAAACTGATTTTAGGAACCACCGCAAGTCACTGAATGACATTTTAAGAACAGGAATCAAACTTACAAAAATAAGAGTATTAAAAGTCTACAATAGGAAAATTTTAAATAATTTAAATCAGGCGGGGAAATATACTAGCAGTTATTGGCCACACACACATACTGAAATTGCTCTGATCTGAATGTGTCTCCCCAAATCCGTGTGTTGAAATCTAGTTACCAATGTGGTGACGTTGGAGAGAGGGTTTATGGGAACTGAATTGGTCATAAGAGCATAGCACTCCTCAATGAGATTAGTGTCCTTATAGGAGAGGGTCCAGAGAGCTGCCTTACTCCTTCCCACCTGTAAGGATACAGCTAGGAGACTTCATCTATCAATCAGGGCACAGGCCCTTACAACACACCAAATCTGCTGGTGCCATGCTTTTGGACTTCCCAGCCTCTGCAACTGTCAGAAACAAATTTTCCTTGTTTATAAGTTACCTAGTTTATGATATTCTGCTATAGCAAATCAAATGAACTGAGAAACTATTGTCTACCCATAGTAAAATAATTACAGAAAGCATTATAGTATTCCTCTCTTCCATAGAGATTAAAACATACTGCATTTTATGACCCTTAATAAGTGTGGATGTATCTTTTGATAGATATTTTACCTTAATATTTCATATTCATGTCCCTCGTTAACATTTCTCCCCAAAATTTCAATTAATATATCCTTATGATTTAGTATTGTTTCTGTCTTCTGTTTATTCCCAAAGTCACTTATTGTAGAAAACAAGTGGTAAAGTTCATTTGTAGCTATGAAAAGTGTGTGCCTAACAATGACAGTTTAAACTATTTGACAAATTTGATTTATTAAAATTGCAACCAAAACAATCAGCTGGCCAATCTTTTTAAATATGTAATAGTTAAATACAACTTACCTCCTTTAGTAAACAAAAGATATTGGTTCTAGGGGCAGGGGGCAAAATAGCTGAATATCCTACATGTATGGGGGAAGAGTAAACATAATTAAACTTAGATTGTGAATGATTTAGTTGTATAATTTAGCTACTAGTAGACAGATAGCAATTTTTAAAAATTTCCCCATGTTATAACTTTCTATGGGCCTTGAGATTTTGAAAATTTAATGAAATATAGGGAAAGTGAGTATCTTTGTTCCATATATATATATATATATATATATATATATATATATATAGCATGTACCAGTCACAGGGCCCAAAAGTTATATATTGTCATATATGTTTTATCACTTAATTTTAGGAAGTCAACAACTATTTCAGAATACCTGCTCCTATGTTTGAAGAGTGTAGAGGTAAACAAAACAAATGAACAAGGAAATCCATGTCTTCACACAGCTTACAATGTGGTAGTAAAATAATGACAATAAATATCATCAGTAAACCAGTGAATCATATATACAGCATTTTATCAGGTGAATATATCTATGAAAAATATAGCAGGGTAAGGATATAAGTAAGTGTAACTAAGGGTGTCAATTTTTAATAACATGGTCAGGGTTGACCTCATGAGAAGGACCATTTAAAGCAGCAGGAGAGGAAGCCTTGAAGCTATTTGGGGGAAGACAGTTTCAGTCAGAGAGATGGAAAGTCAAGCTCTGTCGACCTAACGTACAGCATGCTGACTATAATTAATAATAATGCACTGTATACCTGAAATTTAAGAGACTAGATCTCAAATATTCTCACCACAAATTTTGAAAAGACAGCTGTGTAAAAACAAATGTCAGAACAAAAATGAAGAAACAACAGAGGAGTAAGGAGAAAGTGAAGAAACAGTGAGGTGGGAAGAAGACAACATAAATTAGTGTCCGCAAAGGTAAAGGAAGAAGACTGTTCAAAGAGGAAGAATGATTAGCAGGTGCATTTGGTTGTGAAATGCTAAGTATAAAGTGGATTAAGAATTGACAAAATAACTTTGCAAAATGGATGTCATTAATGACCTTGACAGAAGCAGTATTACTAATTTTTTAAAAATGGAAGTAAGGCCAGGAGCAGTGGCTCACATCTATAATCTACAAGGGTTTTGGGAGGCAGAGGGGGAGGACTGCTTGTAGCCAGGAGTTTGAGGCCAACCTGGGCATCATAGTGAGTCTCTACGGAAAAACATAAAAGTTAAAAATTAGGCCAGTGTCTGTGGCTCATGCTTGTAAGTCCAGCACTTTGGAATGCGAAGGTAAGAGGATCACTTTAGTCCAAGATATCGAGACCAGCTTGGGCAACATAGTAAGACCCATCTCTACAAAAAATATAAAAAATTAGCTTAGTGTGTTGATGGCTAGCTGTAGTCCCAGCTACTCAGGAGATTGTGATGGGAGGTTTGCTTGCCTGTGTGTAGCAAGCAGGTCTTGCTCTGTCACCCAGGAAGAAATGTAGTGGGCAATCAGTGCTCACTCAGACGTTGGAGTGTATGTTCACTCACATCACTATATCACTGTCTTGGTGACAGAGAAAGACCCTATCTCTAAATTTAAAAAAATGAGAAAAATAAAAAATAAGAAATGAAAAATTATCTAGGTGTGGTGACACATGACTGTGGTCCTAGCTACTTGGAAGTCTAAGACAGGAGAATAGCTTGGGCCTTCAGGTAGGAGGCTACAGTGAGCTATGATTGTGCCACTGCACTCCAGCCTGGTTGACAGAGCGAGATCCTGTTTCTGGAAAAAAAAAAAAAGGAGGTAAAAATTTGACTGGGGTAGGTTTCAAAATTGAGCTGGTGTAGGTCAAAGGGAATGCATAACAAAATTCCTTCAAGGTGTTGCTCTGGCAATAGAATAAGAAACCAATATAGTAGTTAGTGAGATAAGTGGAGCATGAGAAGGTTTTCTAAGACGGAAGGAATTCCTATGTTTATGCTAATGGAATAATCTGGTAGAGAGAATAAATAGATGATGCAATACAGAGAGAAGTGTTGCTGTATATATGTAGGCCAGAAGTAACGGGATCTAATGCGGAGTTGCATGTGTGTCTGTGTTTGTATAGGTTAGGGATCAGCTTTAAGTATAACAACAGACCATCTGTAGCAGCAGGAGAGAATGCAAAGTATATATTGCTAAGAAGAGTTAATATGGGGAATATATTTGCATTCTTAGTGAAATAGTTAAAGTCATTAACTGAGACTGAGAATAGAAGAGGTCATAAATAATGGCCTAGGACAATGAGAAAGCACATGGAATAGAGAAATAGAGTATAACTGCACTCTGTATTCAGAGACAATATGAGGTTCATTTATAAGAATTTAAATTAAGACTTGTCAGCGGTCCTGTGATTTTCTTTTTTTTTTCTTCTTCCAGCCACTGTCAGCAGGTACAGCCTACACAGAGAATTAGGTTAAGTCTAAGTCATGGCTTTGCCACACAAACAAGCTGAGGGGCATTGAGAAAGAATAAAGGGGTGGGGTGGCGGGTAATTATAAACCCTGACTGGAGACTTTAACCGTGATAAGAAACGAAAAGAATGTATAAGTGGGAATGAGGGACAGTGAAATACTGGTAGAATCAGTGACATTTAATCCTAGTCATGTAAAAGGTTTGTTGGAATAGTCAAACTTGCCACACTTCTCTCTCAATGTAGCAAAGACTAACAAGAGGCAAATTCAATGAAATACATGAAAATTCAATGAAATATTAACTCATCAATTGGCAATCATTCCAGTAGTATCTCACTACTTCTTCAAGGGTGATTGAGAGGAAGGTGGGGATGGTTAATGGATGCAAAAAAAAGTTAGAATAAATAAGACCTATTTGATAACACAACAGTGGTGACTATTATCAATAATAAGAATGACAAAAAGTATATAATTTGATTGTAACGCAAAGGATAAATGTTTGAGAATGGATAACCCATTCTCCATGATGTCATTACTACACATTATATGCGTGTATTAAAACATCTCGTTTACCCCATAAGTAAATGTAAAAATACACCTACTATGTAAACATACACCTATGTCCCCACAAAAAATAAAAATTAAAAAAATACAAACACTTAGAAACTAAAAAAAAAGTCTCACACTTGTCACACGCAAAATATTCACAAATTATATCTTTATGAATATCTTTTTTTGCTCATATATTTTTTCTTTACTTTTTTATAATCAGAAGAAATTTAGCAGTTCTAGCTGCTTCATCCCCATGCTGTATTTCCACCGAATTCAAATGGGCTATGAAAAGGACAATATTACAAGTTGCTGAGGAATTTTCCCATTCTTCCCAACATCACCATCAATTTTTCCTCCTCAAAATCATAAAACCCGTCATTCATTTTGTAAATAGTTCAGTTGAATATTCTCATAAGATTATAATTTTATAGTTAAGTATATAGACGCTGACATTCAGAAAGTTTTTTTTAAACAAGTAAATGACTGAATTGAGATTCAAAACTAAGTCTGGAGATTGTTTCCACAACACTCTTACTGAAAGTAAACAATCATAGTTTTTTAAGAATATTTTATATTGTTTAAAAAACAACACAGACTAAATTGTTTTCATTTATGGCTTAAAATTAACATGGAACCATTTTGACCTACTTCCATTTATATCTATTAAGGATGTTATTTTTATTTGCTTCAATTTTGATAAGCCCCGAATGTTTCCAGGAGTTTTCAAAGTGAACCTGATGTCCTGACAATGATTAATCTTGGGATTGAAAAATTCTCATTGCCAGCCAGCTCATTCTGTTACCTAGATATTTCAGTCTGGAAAAAAAAGTAGGCCAGTTGTTCTTTTCTGTATCTTAGCCTTTCTCTACTTTTTCCCTGTGTGCTTGTGTGTTTGTTCACGAGAGCGGTGCATCCTCACACATTCATGTGTGTTGTTTGCCTCAGTGTTTAAATCAAAAAACAACAAAACAGGAAAATGTTCAGAAACTATGACCTACCAGTAGGCCAAGGAGTATTGAAGCAATGTGTTAAAGGATGTCAGCTGTCGTCAAATTTTGGTGATAGTTACACCCAGTCCACTTCATATGATTAATTCTATTCTCTTGTCATGCCTACTAAACACTTTTGAGAAGCAAAATGTCATTTTTTTCTTTTAAGAATAAAATGTAATCTAAAGTACATTATATTCTAATGAGGTAAATTGTAAATTTAAAATTTTCCAAAACATTACGATAGAATAATGACTTTTAAAACTTCAGAGATATATACTCATAAAAGAAAATATATGTAATGTGTTAAAATGGTTGCTTTTGAAGTAAGGTAAGTAGGAGTAAGGAATTCCCATTCCTTACTGTGAGATGATTATATGTATATATGTACTTATATACATACAAATGAAGGTGAATAAAAGTTTGACTAGGACCAGGAATAAGGGTGAATCCTGAAAAGAAGCAGATAAATTTCCAAATATAAGATAAAAATGAAACTTTATGGTAGTACTAATTTTGGTATAATGGTATTAATGGTAATCATCAAACTATAGGAAACTGTTGTATTTCTAGGTTCAAAAAGTAACATATTGGCAACTCCATGTTCTTTAAATTTATACTAATATGAATAACTCATATTTACCTGTACATCACTCATAGGACCTTTCATGCCACCCTTACAAAAACATTATGGCATAATCAGGAATTACCCATGATACACATAATTAAATTGATGCTCACAGAATTGAGTTAAGTTGCTCAAGGTTAGAGAGGTATTATACATCAAAGCTAGATGTATGAAGTCTTCAAAGCTAGATGTATGAAGATGAAGTTTTAAGCTAACCTACTTTCCAGTATGAATCATATAAAAGGTGGTCATGGGCCTTTAGTCTCGTCCTGGTTCTGCTGGTAACAAGGAAAATTCTTTAGATTATAGAATCTTTATCTACAAAATGAAAAGGTGGGATATGTAATCTAATTTATAACTCACCGAATATGCCAAAGATCTCTAATTTTATTTTTGTCTTTTTAATAAAGGAATCATTATTATTATTGCATGTATGCTGAAGTATGAATATAGTTCCTCACTCATTATTAACAGACTGGGTCACTGAGATCTTGGCTAAACCTTAAATTTCTTATACTGTTCAATATAACTAATTTAGTCAAGATTTACTTATGATGAAAAAGTAAAGGGACCACCCAACAGTGACCTCTGATGTTGCTACCATTAATCTTATTCAATGATCTTGGTCATTAACCTGTAACAGTAGGATTCACACACGTATTGGTAGTTATGTCTTGATTTTTTTCAAATAAAATTTTATGCAGAATCTAATGTGATAAGACTTGCATGGGTGAGGTCTTATTGCAGTAGCTGCAAATGAACCTGAGCAATTGCTCTTGTTTGATTCTGTATAAAATTTTCTGAACTCCTGAGGCTCCAGAAAATGTCAATCAAAAAACATTGTCCAATATTTGTACCTTCTATTACCATCTATGTGCAAGAACACTAACTGAATTCTCCATTGTATTTTCCTTCTGTGTATATGGAAGAGTTTTAAATTAAATTTTAGGATGCAACATAAACTAGGTAACAGAAAATGCGGATTATTTCCAAACTTGTTCTATGTTTCTTCACTCATAATAAATAATTTTTTAATGATAAGATCCTTCCACATGAATATTCTATGATTCTATGAGTTGAATAAAATTAGATAAATATCAAACAAATATTTACTGCATATGATGATCATTTTGTATATTTGATTCTCTAAAAATGCATCATAAAAAGTCTGCTTCAGATGAGGTAGTTGATTTCATTGACATTTCATATATAGACATCAAAGAGTTTGAAATTCTTATACGATATTTGTTACTGACCTACATATGGTGGGCACTTCTGGCAGTGAATGCTGACACCAACATAGAAACATAAGGAAGACATACTGCACTTACTATCCATTATTGCAGCAATGCCCTGAGGGGGGCACAAAACTTTCAGCACTGAATATAAAAAGAAACATTTTCACAAAGCACAAAATGTTTGTCGTATACTCAAAGAATGCAGAGATTCAAGGTTAATTATGTTTTCAATAAACTGTTTTATTTTGTTAGGAAACGTTTCTTCTTATTTTAAAAGTGTTTTTCCTAGCATCTTTCA